AATCGTTCACATCTGATACTGTGTCAGAGCACGAGCCGCAGGAAACGGAACAGCCGCCGTCTATATGGCCGTCCAAAGGCCGAATAGTCTTCGACAATGTTTCGGCCGGATACACGTGAGTTTACTTTGATCTGTTACTCTCAATCAGTCGCTGACTAGCCTTCCTGCAGGCCATCTGAAAACGTCTTGAAAGGTGTATCAGTATCGATCGAGGCAGGTCAGAAAATCGGCATTTGCGGACGAACCGGAAGGTAAAATGCTCTCATCATTCACTAGCCATACCAAGCTGACCTATATACACCCGTAGCGGCAAGAGTTCCATGGTATCTTGTCTCTTCCGTATGGTGGACCTCCACCATGGTAAAATCCTCGTAGACGGGCTCGACATCAGCATGCTTCCCCGCGAAGAGGTTCGCACTCGACTAGTTGGCGTGCCTCAAGATGCATTCCTCATTGAAGGAAGCAGCGTGAGGCTGAATGCTGACCCTGCTCAAGGGCTCTCAGATGCTGCCATTGAAGACGCCATGAGGGCCGTTGAGCTCTGGGACATTATAGCTGAGAAAGGCGGCCTTGATGCGCCCATTGAAGCGCTTCACCTTTCCCATGGCCAGAAGCAGCTCTTCTGCATCGCACGCGCTATCCTGCGCCCTTCGCCCATTGTAGTTCTGGATGAAGCTACCAGCAGGTAAGCCGTAATCGTTCATTTGGCGGCGTCTTGACATCAAGAACTGACATTGTGAACAGCGTTGACTCGCATGTTGACGAACTTGTGCAGCGTGTTATACGCGAGCGGTTTGAGAATCGCACAGTGATTGCAATCGTGCACAAGCTCCAGTCAGCCCTCGAGGACTTTGACATGGTAGCTGTGCTTGATAAGGGTGAACTACTAGAGTTTGGACCTCCGCGACGGCTTCTGGAACAGGGGCGTGAAAATTCTGCATTTGCTGCTCTTTACGAGAGCCTAGGTACGGGAGACGAGGAAGCACCGCATGAATGATGTAAAAATGAGATTCTACTAGAAAATTACGATGGAGCATGGCCAGATTTGCTTCGGCACCAGCGAATGGATTCTGGGCTGAACTCGTATACTTCTTCCTATCATGATAGCTTCTAGTAGATGGTTTAGTTTAGAGCATCAATTATGATACTAAGATCTAAAATAAGATCACTAGCCAATCCACCAGAAATATTTTGCTCCCTAAGGCAGATAAACAGTAAATGACTTCATACGCCTACCCTGAAGAGAGAGACTGACTACGGACTTACATGAAGGTCGGTGAGAATGTGGCCATACCTGAAGCGCCCACGAAAGCCTCCCATGTCATAATCTTATGTTTGCCGCACTACCCGCTACCGTGGGGCCTCAATTTCAAATTTTCATCCTGCAGTTTCGTATTGCAACGATTGTTCCCTGCTCGAGTATGGTGATAATGAATCATGATAAAGGTATTCGTCCTGCAGCTGCAGCCACAGCTGCTAGGCCCTGTATTTACGCTAAGCTTTATTTGCTGTCTCATTATTTTACTGCAACACAGAACTGCCGGTAGCCTCACTTTCCGGGATCGACACGGTAGCCCTGAAAATGCACATACTAAGGTTCTCGGTACCTTTCCAGCTCCAGACGTTGGACCGGAGCTATGTTGTGTGCCGTGAAAATGGCTTGCAGCATGCAGTAGTGGATTTTGGTGGCTGGCTGATCAGATATCACTTACAACAGGCCCCGGCTGCCCGCTGTTCTCTTTTGTACCGCCCTAAGCCGTGCCGTGCTAGCCGTGCTTCCCCTTGCATAGCTGTGCCTGGGGGTTACCTGCCCTTTTCCTTCCAGGCTGTTTACAGCCCTATAACCACAACATGCGTCTACCTGTTTTTCGTAGGTCACCATCACCATCACCTCCACCGCTTTCTGTGCCACATCAGGCCTTTGATTACAGGCGGTCATGCGTCCCACTATCAGCCTGATCCTCTGCTTTTTTGCCATCCCGAATGGGATATTGGCTTATCCTGGCCCCGCTGGTCCAGCAACGCGGCCTCATTCCCTTAAGCGCCTTTCGGAGTACAAGTCCTCTACATCAGGATGCAGCTCTGGTCAAGAGGTAGTGATCAAGGCGCCAGTGAAGAACATTTTCCAAAGCCTCACGGATGAAGAATATGCCCATGTTACGGCGTATCTTCATGAGCAGAAAGACCTCAACTTGACTGCTGTAGTCAACTCAACCTCGTGAGTCTCTGTTTCCTTTAAATCCTTAACAAAACTGTATTGAACATCTTCTGCCTACTTCTCACAAAAAACCTTTCGCGATTCATCAGCTAACGGCGCCCAGCTGGGATAATGTAATCGTGTCTCTGGACCTATTACAGCCAAACAAGACAGGTGCATTGACGTATCTTGAAGGCCACGGTCCTGCTCCAGTCCGCTATGCCAGAGCAACCCTCCAGTTTAACTCAAAATTGCAGCCCTATATCCAAGAGTACATGGTCGGGCCTCTGCCCATCCAAAAGGGTCTGACACACCATGAGGAACTCAACTACATATTCACATCTGGCCGAGGCCGGATCAATGTGTATAACGCTGACGGTGAAGCCATCGCTGCTTTCAACCTCAAGATTGGCACCGAGATAAAAGACATCACCAAGGAGCTTCTCAATGGTGTTCGTATATCCTCCAATTATGCGTCTTGAATCACCTCGACTAACGATGTCAACAGACTGCAACAGGTGCCGAAACCGATAATCTGCTGATTGCAGGCAGTGACCCTCTGATTCATCGTAACGATAGGGTCTACCAGTGGAACGAGTTCTACTCTGCTCATACTGGAGAATTCTACTCAGAGACAGTACTACCCACCAGTTTGCAATTCAAGGTTGACCTCACGGGCCGTGATCCATCCAAGTGGAAGGTGGTGGGCTGGTACTACGACGGCAACTTCTGGCCAACGACTGCCGCTTTTCGCAAGGGCATCAAGACCTTGAAGCGAAGGCCAGGACCAGTCGTCGATGGATCCTGGACTTCTACTGATCAGCAAGGCGATAGCTTTCCTCGTGATCATCTATACCCTCCTATTTCAGTCCAGCCTGATGGTCCCCGATTCGGAGTGGATAGAGAGCAGAACTACGTCGAATGGAGTAAGTTCTTTGGACATTTCTTTCGTAGATCTAGCTGACAAGATTCTGAAGTGGACTTTAGCTTTTTCCTTTCTAATCACAAAGAAACGGGTCTGCAGCTACACGACGTTCGATTCAAGGGCGAACGTCTGATCTATGAGTTTGGTCTTCAAGAGGCTCTTGCGCATTACGCTTCACAAGACCCGCTGCATGCCTCATCGGCATATCTTGATTCCTCATATGGTATAGGCACCAGTCAATGGAACCTCGTCGACGGTTTTGACTGCCCATCTCACGCTACCTATCTCAACACAACGTTTTACATCAGCGAGACTACCCATGTGCACCCAAACAGTTTGTGTCTGTTTGAGTACGATACTGGTTATCCTATTCAACGACACTTGACTACGGACTATGTTTCTGCAACCAAGAACATCGTTTTCACCGTACGCAGTGTTTCCACGGTGGGCAACTATGACTATCTCTTTGAGTACTCTTTTCACTACGATGGATCCATTTCCGTTACTGTTCGGGCCTCGGGTTATATCCAAGGAGCCTTTTGGTCAGGAGACGGCGATTACGGTTATCATATTCATGATAATCTGTCAGGATCTATGCATGACCATGTCATCAACTTCAAGCTGGACCTGGATGTCAAGGGTACTAAGAACAGTCTGATGAAGACTGAGTTTGTACCACACACTCAAGTGTAAGATGCCTTCCAGCGTTTGTATTCAGCCCGCTAACTTAAAATAGCTATCCATGGTCTGATGGTCAGTCTATCAATACCATGAAAGTTAACCGCACGTACATTGCCAGCGAGGATGACAGCAAGATAAATTGGGCACCAAATGGAGCTGCTTCATATTCCGTTGTTAATAGGGATAAACTGAATGACTTTGGGGAGGCGCCCGGTTACTCCATAACCCCGAGTATGACAACCTACCCACACACATAATCTCACACGATGGCTAACATGGTCTATAGATAGCGGTAGTACTGCGTATCTGACTGTTCAGTCATCCTCGGCCCTTGGTCAAGCCGCCAATTGGGCCAATCATAACCTTTACGCCCTCCAACGCCATGACACTGAGCCCAAGAGCGCATACGCCTATAATAGCCACGACTTGAATCGCCCAGCGGTCGACTTCAACAAGTTCTTCAATGGAGAAAGTCTCGATCAGGAAGACATTGTTTTGTAAGTACCTGATGCGGCGACATGGCCGTCATTCAGAGCTAATAAGCATCACAGATACTTCAATCTAGGCATGCATCACCTGCCCAACACAGCCGACCTGCCCAACACTGTGACTACGAAAGCTGTATCTTCAATGTTGATCTCTCCACAGAATTACTTTGCTGGTGATGTATCACGACGGACTGTGCATCAAGTTCGTATGTCCTTTGACAAGAACTCCAATGTCACCGGGGTAAAGAGGTTTGGTGTGAAGCAGCCGACATGCGCGCTTGATATGAACACAGTGGCCCCTGACCTAAGCACGTTTGTCGGCGAGATCGAAATTCCCAAGTTTCCATGGAATCCGAGTGGTAGTCTGCAGACAAACCCAGGTGGCTAAGGGTCAGGACATTCAGTAAAGGTGACCCTGACACTGGACCCTATAATGCAATTGTCATTCACTTGAAGTTTCTCTGTAAAAATGATGGGAGATGTATATAATTCCATAGTTCAATTGCAAGTTATAAACAAATTGAGTAAAGAACCTTACAGCAAAACAGGAGCCTAGATAGGTGACGCTTGATTTTCTTTTATTTTCACGTACGACTAATTGTTAATTCCTCCGGTAACACTTGATTAAAATTCATCTTGAGTGAGACAGGCCGGGCAGTGGAGAGCAGCGTTTTCTTAGATAAATTAAATTAACTTTATGCAAAGCTACCTACTGTAAGGTTGCTTCTGCTGGCTCCCCAGCCCAAGCTCGCCGCAGTAGCTCAAAAATCCACTTGAGATCCAGAGGACGAGGATTGGGGTACTGATTACTTGTGGCAATCTGAGATGCTCTTTCAATGTCACTTTCTTTCATCCCCAGCTCTTTCAAGCCGCCTGGCACTGGCAGCTTTCCCAACAGTAGTCCCAATCCTTTCAATGCGTCGCCTTCGCTTCCAGGGAAGACAGCGGCTAGTTTGGCCATTTGTTCGGGGATACGGGGAGCATTATAAGACAAGGAATGGGGAAGCATTACGGTATGGGTTTCAGCATGAGGAAGTCCGAACGATCCACCGAGGACATGGCAGATTTTGTGATGCAGTCCCATGGATGAGTTGCCTAGGACTGTACCACAAAGCCAAGCACCATAGAGAGCCTGATCTCGAGGAGCTTTGGAGTCGGGGCTTTCCACGATTTGAGGCAGCGCCTCCGCTAATGACTTTATTCCCTCGAGGGCGAGGATCGAAGTGATAGGGTTGGCATTTCGTGCGTAGAGTGCCTCGACTGCATGGGCGATTGCGTTGACTCCAGATGTACTGCAAATAACAGGCGGTAGAGTCAAGGTAAGGTCTACATCGTAGATAACAACAGCAGGCAGGATCTTAGGGTCGGATCGAGTAGTTTTGATGCCGTCTTTCGTCTCTCCGAGGATGGGAGTCATTTCAGAGCCCGAATAGGTCGTTGGAATGCTAATGTGAGGTACGCTTGAACGAATGGAGATAGCTTTTCCGAGTCCAACTACTGATCCGCCGCCGATGGAAACAACGCAGTCTGCTGACACAGAGTCAAGAAACGCAGTTCCTTGTTCGGTTACAGATGTTGGAGTGTGCGCTGTGGCGTTGGCAAAGATGCCAGCAACGTCTAGAGAAGCACCCTTGATGATCTCGGACAATTGGTCGGCGAGGTGTCGTTTACCAGGCGTGCAAAGGAGGAGTGGTCGAGAGACGTCGAGGCGCTTTATTTCGGCAGGGAGCTTTTTGACACTGCCAGAACCGAAAACGACTCGGTTCGTCTGGACATCGTACTCAAAGTCTTTCATGTTGAGGTTGCGGAATTGAATTGCAGCTATGACGAACGTTACAAACCAAGGAGAAATCGCTCATTCCACAGAGTACCTCACCAAAACAGATTTATCGAAACACCTCGCTAGGTTGCTTTATTGTTTATTGAGCTGGAAGTCTCGGAAAACCTAAAGCGCTAAGACCGGAAGGCGGAAGACTGGAAATTTGAGTTCTCTGTTTTCCGAGATACCGGATGTTCTTCCGGAGCCTAGACTGCAGACGCGGGGCCCCGCATTGTTTGTTTGCGATGATCAACATCTAGATTGGATCTTGCATTACAGCCCGCCAGTGTTCCCCCGCATCCGGGGATAAGACCTTGCCATAACCCTGCCGGAGATCCTAATAGCAGGCGGGAGAGTCCAAGCATAAAGCATGGACTTCCCCTCTGTTGTGGATTTTCTTGAAGTAAATCGTCACTCCTGGGCAGGTTATATAAAGGACCCATTTATTGCATCTAGTCTTAATACCTGGCTACCCTACAAGTGACTTACGCTTATACGAGCTTAGACCAGCATGGACGATTACAAACCCCGGCAGTCAATTGATGAACAAGTCGGTGACACTGCATTATCTTCGGATCTCAAAGATTCAGAAGGCTACATAGCCCAGGTTGACACTGAACACCATGGCAACCTCAAGCTCGCCAAGGATGGCCATACTGTTCTAATTCGGCAACCTTCTGACGATGCACGAGACCCTCTCAACTGGAGCCCCGTCAAGAAACATGTAATCCTCTTTATCATCAGTTTCGCAGCCTTTCTTCCCGATTATGGTAGTGCTGTTGGCGCAGTTACTCTCATCCCGCAAGCCGCGTTAGTAATGACTTGTTCACAAGAGAGATTATTCTGCTAATACAATGGCTTCAGACAATGGAACCTGAGCCAAGACACGGTTAACCACTCACAAGTTGGTAATGTTTTCATGCTCGGAGCGGGCGGTATCTTTGTTGTAGCCCTCTCCGCATGGGCAGGCCGTCTCCCTGTCTTATTCTACTTCCTCGTCATCGCTGCAGCTACAGCCGCTTGGTGTGCTGCTGCTACGACCTTTGAGTCTTTCATGGCCGCGCGTATCCTCAATGGCTTCTTCAGTACAGTCTCGCAGGGCGGAGGATTGATGTTCATCTTTGACATGTTCTTCTTCCACGAGCGTGCTCGCAAGATTAATATCTGGGCTGCCTTCATTATCCTCTCTCCGTATATGGGTCCATTGTTGACTGCCTTTATCATCACGACAGAACCGTGGCCCGTTGCGTTCTGGGTATACTTTACTGAAGTATGATCGACTGTCCTAACGACTTTGAGTTCAAACCTGACCATGGCATAGACTTCGCTTGCGCTCATCCTCACAATCCTGTTTGTCGAAGAGACCTACTATGACCGTCGCATCACTGCTGCCAATCAACCACCTCGAGGATCACGCATCGGCAATCTGTTAGGTTATGCCCAGTACCAATCTCGCCACCTTCGTAACAGCTTCGGCCAAGCCTGTTTGCGCCCAATTCGCGTCATCCTCAAGCCAACCGTCTTCTTGTCTTGCCTTTACTACCTACTGACCTTTGCATGGGTCGTTGGTATCAACACAACCTTATCAATCTTCCTTACACCGCTATACAACTTTGGGCCCAAGCAGATCGGTTTCTTCTATTTCACACCCGTTGTTGCCGCGATTTTGGGAGAGGTAGTCGGCCACTGGCTCCACGATGGAATTGCCACACAGTTCATCAAAACGCACAACGGTCACTTTGAGCCCGAAATCAGACTACGTGCAATTTGGTTCAGCACCCCGTTCATGCTCGCCGGTTTGGTCGGGCTGGGCTTCGCTCTTGAGGAGGGTTATCACTACATGATTACTGCCTTGTTCTGGGGCCTGTATGTCTTTGGTATCATGGTAACTACAGTTGCTCTGAATGCATATAACCTCGACAGCTATCCAGAAGCATCCGGGGAGGTATCTGCATGGATCAATTTCGCGCGAAGTAAGTTGAGATGCACTACTCACAAGACTTTCAGACAATTGCTGACACCAAACAGCTACTGGGGGTTTTATCATCAGCTATTTTCAAGTCAAATGGGCAAACTCGGTCGGCGCAAAAGCCAGCTTCGGTACTCAGGCAGGTATCTGTGCTTTTGCATTTCTTATCGTTCTTGTGTTGCAGGTGTTTGGGAAAAGAATGAGAGCGAAGAGTGGAAAATTATGTTTCCCTACTGCATAAATAAGTTGCTTTTAATAAGATTATACGGGGATGATCAATCTCTATATTTAAGAACCCTCAAATAATAGAAAATACCTATATTATTGGGAACTCGACTTTAACAGCAGCTTTTAGTAGTATATACACCCTACATAGGCTCAAATAGCAACCCTTTATCGGAGCCAATCCTTTAGTGTTTCCTCAACCACATTCCAATGCATCGGCCAGACCTCGTTGAGTAGCCCAGGGCCTAGACTCTGTGTCAGCAAGTCTTATTGACATTTGCTGCTGGTTTAATGTCCCGACACCCTGCTTTGTTTATTTTCGCATGCGCTCAATTATTCTCGAATCGTAAATGAAATATGTTGCAGCAGTGGCTATAGCCAAAGGCACCGATACAACGAAGTAGACCCAGAAGTGAGGGTGTCCTGGACTATAGGGTTCTGCCATACTGAAAAGCGAGGATGCGAGAGAGAGTGGCACGAAGACGAGCCCCACCAGCACCAGCACCCTTGCCCTTTTTGCCTCCTTGTTTGACGCAATTGCTTCCTTGGTCGAAGTTGTTGCATGTATAAGACTGACCAAGCCTATGATTGCGGAGTTTGTAGCCCTGCATTGCTGCAGTAAAACTTCAAATTGGCGATAAAGGGTTTCAAACCTGGGCCTTGTGTCTTTCCAGTTTCTATTTTCACTCACGGTCTTAGTTTTTAACGGGCTTAGGCGGTCTATAATGCGACAGAGCTTATCGCAATTCTCTTGCAAGCTCTCCTCGTCATAATGGCCAGCTCGTCGTTGAGACTCGATATCTGCAGCAGTCAGACTTTCTGGGTCGCTGCTCATCAATTGAGTCTGCATTCTTAAAACTTCAATCTTCAGTACATCGTGTCGCCGACGGAAGTGTTCCAAGACTATCTTTTCGATAAAGAACGCCGGGGCACTGGGTTCTTCCAAGTTGAGGTACCTATAATGGTCTTCTAAGTAATAGTGAAGATCATCAAACATTGAAGTCCTAGGCGGACCTGTAAGGCATTTGATCTGATCCTCGAAAGGTAAGAAGTCATTATATCCATTGGCCCAAGGCTGGAGATCGCCGAACATTTGGTTCTTATTTCGGTCAACTACCAAAGGCGGGGGATCGCACAGTATGACGGCTGGGAGATGGTCGTGTCAACAAAGGCTCATCCCATACAAAGAAGTGGGTTACTAACCGTTCCAGCTCCCATCTGCAGACAAATTCGATGACCAGAAGCTGCACTTGCGATCGACGGTAAGCGTTGCAAGATTGGCTCCCAGGTTAGCCTTAGTAGTAAATCTACCAGTCTTTAAACAATAAGACAGATCATGGGTCCGGGACTCCACATTTATCAAGAATTCTTCAGGATACTCGAAGCAAATATAGTCCTGCTCACTACTGGCCAGTGCTGTGTTATTCATGGTATGCCCCGTGCAGGAATAGATGTCCCACCAAAGGTGATCGGTGAAAAGAGTTGGATGGACCATGAGGTGTTTGCCAAGGACGGAGATAAACTCAGGATTGAGGCCTTCCAAGATATATATTTTTCGCTTCTTTGCGCTCTCCTTGGCTTTGTACGCCTCGATGTGGTGGTCGAGTTCAATTGGATCCGAGGTCTTCAAACATTCGTGGACGCTATTGGCTTGCATGTCCAGGGCCACAACGCATGGACTATAGCACGTTGGTGGCCAGTCACTTTCGTTTGTTTTATCGCGACTCCGCAAGTCAGGGCGACTTGCACAAAGCGAGCCAATCAAGTCGCGATACGGACCAGGGGCGGAGAGCCATGAGCCATCCTCATCTGATGTTGAGCGTCGAAAATAACTAGAGGCCTGGGATGGCCGGTAGATGATGAAAGACGAGACATAGTCAGAACACGCAGATATATCGAACAGGGAGGTAAGATTATAGGTTTGAGTAATGACAAATTAGTGAATGGAGAGATGACAAGGACTAAATATCCTACAGGAGGTATCAATTAGGCATTAATGCATATGTGTGGGGTTTTAGGCTTAGAGTCTTGGTCAACTAACATAGATCATATAATGCTTAGGAGATAAATAATCCAATATTCTCTCAAGCCCTCCTTAAGAGTATACCAACCCTCATTCTGCATTCTTTAAATCAAGTTGGATATTTCACTGTTCCTACGACCCCACTTGGCAATTGACCAGAAGCCAGGCCAAACTCATACAGGAATAGTGATGACAGAATTTATCTGTCTTGGCATAACGGTATGTTTCTAAAGTTGGGGAGCGGAAGGTTGGTGTAGTCTGCGTCAACTGTGCAGGTAGCCCCAAGAACAACCTCAATACAGAGGCAGTGGTTTCAGAGCAGCTCGGCAACAATTGGCTTGTACAGTCGGCGCCGTTTACACAATTAACTCCCCGGGGGTTGAGAACACAGACCCCGATACTATTAGACTCAGGAGTCAATAAGGAGCAGTTTGTGTCTGTGTCGCATGATAATGCGAGCCTGCCAAACAGGGGAAGGGCTTAAAGCCCAAAGAACGAATGGCTTTCTTCATATTTTCATCAATAGCGAATGATGGGGCGATCGTTAAAACAAGGAGACGATAGAGACTGGTTGGGAAGATTGCTTGGTCTTCAAGAATAGTCACAATAACAGATGTTCTTATACGTTTCTGCCTCTGTGCCCGTAGGAACTTCTGCTATCTGTTTTCTTAATTCATCATTTACAGCGTCGTTATACATTCCTTCTTCACTTTGAATAATTTGAATGGCTTAAGAAAGTATACCAAGTTCGAAATAAGTTATTTAAATCCAGGCCTACCTCTGCATGGTCCAAGTATGCGGCATGTATCTTGACTGACTGCAACCTTTCGCTTTGATCATTACCGCCACGACAGCCCGCAGGGCTAAACCAATGGACAGCTCATTCATTTTGCGCTTGACTCCAGCTTTTTCTTTATTCACTGTTGCAGTTCTCAAAAGCCTGTGCCAGAGAGGTAGTAGGTCCAGCGGCAAAGAGATCAATGCTAATACAGGATAGGTCGAATTTGTAGGAATGGAATGTTTCTCATCACTCCCTGATCACTAATATCTCCTATTGAGTCACTAGACCTTGAATCGGGAAATGATTGAGGACTGCCAGCACCTGGCATTCATACGCAGGGTGAGGCTGCCCACACCGCATTTCCAAAAGTCACATTAAGCCTCAAGTTCTCTGCAGCTTATGCAATAGTGCATTCTAGACCTCTAATATTGATGACATGCGTTTTTTGGCGTAGAAGCCTCTACAAGTCAGCCTTTGAGAGAACAGTTCATGTGACGAGTGGGGGGTTGGGTGACTCAGAGGTTTGTATTACCTACCACTCGAAGGGTTGACTTGCATCAGCACCTGACCCTGCTTGTCTCAGATATTATCACGCACCATGAGAGGAAACGATTTCATGAACTGACACTGTCAATGATGTGTAGCTTACGCCAAGCCCCTTGCTGTTTCGGATAACGCCAGCCAATAATGCTCCGTGGCCTTATATCTGACTCGCGGAACCGGCATTGTCTCCTGACCCCGCCGAGTTCAGTCATTGCTTAGTAGTCCAAATTAATGCGGTATGTAAAATATTACATTTACTTCTGTATAGATAGTAATTATACAATACTGAATATGACAAATAGTTTAAGATAATATATTTAGAGGAATATATTACTCTGTGTCTTATTTATAACGAAGCTACAATGCGCGGTTATGCGAGTAATTCGAGGCATACGTTTTTAAGAAGGGTATTATTGGCCTGAATTTAGCCCAGTACTGCGTTACACCACATAATTTCCACTCCCTGCGTCGCAGAGTGAGATAGAACGAGGTTGATATGATTACGATGTGATACGGACATAACATGGTTTCAGATCGCTGGCTTACTAATACCTGTCACTCTTCATATTAGACTACATGTCAGTCTTCTACTGGCTGACAGCGGTTCCGTGGAAACACGGAGATTCTGGACCATCGGCATTCAGCATCGACTTGAGTGATTCGCCAATATTTTGTCTCTGCGCAAATTTCAACCAACAAGGCCGAATGTTGATCTGCCAGAGATTCAGCGACGATTTGAAGGATGCACCTCACACATGATGACATCCTCTTGTATGCCCTGACACATATCTGTGTAGGGAAAACCCATTCGTATATATGAACTAGCTCGTAGGTATTGCGTGGTTAAATTGGAAATCCAAGTATGGATACAGATCGTGTGGCCCTGCAATATTAGGATTTTTAAAGGAATTATGGCTAAGAC